ATTCTAGTAAATTGTATTTTGCTTGTATTCCATTTTACACTTGATATATGGTGTGACCATGACTTAGTGCTTGACATATATTAATTTGAGATCATTCGAATAACTTTTGAAATCTAGAGATTTATTTAAGTTTTATGTAATTAAATTCTATTTAATTACTCCATTGATGTAATTAAGTTTTGACTTGATATTAGTGATTATCATGATTTAATCCGTGCTATATATTAATTTGGGATTATTTGAATAACTTTTGAAAATTAGAGATTTAATTAATTAAAATTAATTAAATTCTACATGATGATGTCTTGCTCATTTTGCTCTTTTGATTTGATATATGTAATGAGCATGCTATGTTGTTTAACATATAAAAATTTGAGGTTATTTGATATTGACTTGAAATCTAGAGAATTTAATGATTTTTGTTTAATTAAATTCTATCTAATGGCTCCATGGGCCTAATTGTGCTTTAGAAGTTGTTTATATATTCAAATCATGGACTTAGACTTGTTGTATATCCACTTGGTTATATTTGGAACATAGGATAACATTGTTGTTATATTTATATTCATGAGAGCATATTTTCTTTATGAATTATATTGTTGTCTTGTGTAATGAATTGTACATTTAGTATTTGACATCTTTTCATGCCATAGTAGTTATGCACTTAGAGCATGTATTATATGTGTTTCCAAATTCAGTTGTGCATGGTAGATAGTTGATTATCTTGTATATACATGTTGATATATATACATTGTTGCATAACTTGTTAATTTTGCAAACTTGGGGATGTCGTTGTTTGGCTACGGTTAAGACTTGATTCTAGTACGGGGGATTGTCCCTCTATATAGTCTAGTGTGCACATAGGGAGGTTTACTATGGGCTAGTAACTCTAAAGTAACCAAGGTGTCAGCCTGATCCGATTGATGTCCAAGTGTCCACCTTGTTTGATTTCGCATTTCATTTCAAGTTGATAACTAGATGATATCGTAACTTGTTGTTCCTTATTTGATTTCCCATTTTAAGTTTCAAGATGTTAACTTTGAGAATTTGTGCTTTACACGTTGTATTGGAAGTTCAAATGTTGGTTAAATTGCATTGATATTGTGACTTGTGTTTTATTGTTCTAATGTAGCCTAAGATGATTCCTTAGACTCATTTGGCACATAGACGCTAGGTGGCATGACCCACTTTAATTGTTTTCGTATCTTAGATTGCAAATTGATGATTTTGATGATCTATATCTTGTTGCGTTGTATAGCATGCTTTTATATTGTTTAATTGCGTAAATATTGTAATTTATACTTGGAATGCTTTGAAGTAGCTTAGGATAATCCCTGAGTCTCACCTTTGACATAGACGTTAGGTGACATGATCCTTTAAAATTGTTTCATGTTAGTCTAAAAATCTATAAGAATATCGAGTCTATGTATGCTCATTCTCTACGAGTAAACTTGTTTACTCACCCCGAAGTTACTGGGGGTTTTGTCAGGTACGGATGCCTTGGTGTAGGATGCACAATATTCCGGGATCGTTGCGACGAATTGAAGTTCATTTGAGTGTATTCTTGTTCACATGCAAGTGTTAATATGTTTGAGTTCACTTTCTGAGTTGTATTGTGTAATTAGGCCAAAATGTTATTTTTCGCCTTTGACTTGTAATATGTGCTTAAGCACACTTTTTGATTCTCATTCTATGCGTATGATAAGTGACCAAGGGCCAAACTTCATATATAATCCTTGTATATTGAAAAATGATGAATTTTGCCTTTAATGAGAAAAGCATGAAAACTTGGGTTTCAATATGTCATTTTCGTACCGGTGCGTGCATTGTGTATGTAATTCATCCTTTAGCATTCATTTGCCATATGTGAGGTGTAGCCAAGGGCCAAACACCATTTAGTTTTCATTTTTGCTTTTTAGTTCACATATTGCTAAAATAGTAGAAATCGAGCCTTTAAGGGTTCATTTTCAAATCGGGTGGTGTAAAGTGTGTTCTGGCATCTCCACTAGGTCTCATTTATCTTGTATGAAGTGTGGCCAAGGGTTAAACGGTCATTTGAAATCATTTGTTAATTTTGGTTTCCATATTTTTCATTTCAAGTTCATTTTCGTCTTTTTAGCCGTCGGGGGGTCGGATTTTGACTCGGCCATTTCTGGGGGCCACGGACCATTCTCGAGCGCTCAAAATCATCAATTACGTTTGCGTGCATGATCGTTTCCATGAAAAACCCTTTTGTTTGTGTTTTGAGCCTCTTATGTACTCATTTCACTTTTATTTTGAAAAATCTTGTTCAAGGGCATTTCGGGGATTTCCTTCGGGAATTAAATTCCGTTTTCGATTCCATCACATAGAAAATGTGATTTTAGGGAGAGTTTCTTCACGACAGTTTTTTCGAAAAATGTTATCTTGACCTCGAAAACCGCATTATAAACTCGTTTGTCTGCTAAAACACTATTTCTGCTGCCTTGGTTCACTTCTGCCACTTTTGGCGGGCCCCCGCAGCTTTTGGGCGGGCGCCCGCGGTGACCTGTTCCTACACGAGACACCTTCCTTCAAAGGGCCATATCTCACTCGTTTCAACTCCGAATTGGTCCGTTCTTGAGTCTAAACTGACCGCATCGAAATAAGCTTTCCAATGGTACTAATTAAAGCTTCATATTTCATTTGTAACTCAAAATATTCAAGTTTTAGTGAGGTAGTGTTAGGATATGGTTTGAACCGGAAAGGGGTTTTCTTTTCTTAACTTCAAGACTTGATATCTTCTTCGTCCGGACTCCAAATCAAGTCATTTTTGAGTCCATTTTATTAATTTTTTGTTATCTTTCCAATGGCATGCTTTATAGCATCCATTTCTCTATGAAATGATCAATTTGCCCCTAGGTTCATTCTTGTCTGTTTTTGAGACATCGATTCCGCATTTGCATTCTTTGGGTTTCGTGACTTCATTGAGGGTCACATTGGTATCTTTTAAATGTGTAGTATCTCTAGAGACCATAGTTTTACCTTTTGCTTCCGCATTCGGGATTTATCATTGGATTTAGGTTCGGTTTATCATAGGACACACTGGCCTAAAAACCAAGGCCTTCACATCCCTGATCATGAGCACTTGTGGGGTGTCACGGGAGCACTCGTGGGGTGCCCTGGTGTGCCTCTGCGCGCCAGAATGCGCACTGAACGCTCGTACAGCAGCACGTAAGCACTCGTGGGGTAAAAAGATGGAATTTTTTAAAAAATGTGTGAAGAAACCCCTGCTCAAATGTGATCCTTAGGTCCCCAAAGATCCATACCAAGATAAATATGGCAAATGAAAAGAAAGAAATGCCCCCGAATGCAATTAATACCATAAATAAACATTTTAAAACAAAATGCTACATATAACATGCTTTGAAAGAAAATGGCCATTGACCTGATTACATTTCATCAATAATGCTCAAGATACAAGTGCTTAAAGAGATTACATCCACAAGATAGTCAAAGGAACCCAAAAACACTCCATAAAAATGCTAAACACTTTGCATGAAAAAAAAAGAGAAAAAGGAGCAAAAGATGTCCATGACATCATGGCCAAGCCAAGTAAAGAATGATGACCATCCCAAAAGAGCACTTCTTTACCTGAAAAACATTTATCAACGGGTGTGAGTAATTTAAATTACTCCATAAAAAAGTGCATTATGAGGATAACCTAAGGTTTCATTAGCCTTACAAGAATAACATAAGATCAAGACTAGTACCAAAACGAAGCCCTTAAAATGATCTATAACTTTGCTAGCAATGGCTTAAACCAAATCTTCCCCTAGCTTGAAGATTTCTAAGAAAAGGAAGAGAGAGAGAAAGAGAGATATGTGTAGAGAGAGAGGAGTGGTACGAAAATGGAAGGAAAAGAGAGAATAAACCAAATGAAGCCAAGCCCTTTTCGGTTTCTAGAAACCTCCAAAGTCAAAGTTAAGAAACCCAAATAACAAAAATGTCCATCAAACTTCCTCTCAATCACAATAATGCTACAAAATATCATCTCTCACTTAACCACACCAATAACTACATGACCATACATAACTATAATCTCCAAATAAAATAAATGGAGTGAAACACAGGGAAGTACCGGGACCGACACGACGCGCAAATTAAAACGTGTCAAAATAATAAAATAAAATAAACGAAAAATGAAAATTTCGAAACATTACAAGATTGATATCTAACATTGTTTTGACAACATAATCCCTCTTTTATTTTTATAATTACAAATTTCTTTGGGTAGAAGAAGATTTAAATAAATAAAAGTGTTTAGTTTAGACTTCATTACAATCATTTTTGTATATAATAGCACATCTATGTTTTGAATATTGGGTTGTTAAATGAGTATTGTAATATAATCCAATTTCAATCCCCTTTGAATATTTATAATCCAATTTCACATTTTCTAAACATAACTCTTAATATTCTATACTCTAAATGTTTTATACATTACATTTTTCTAAAAAATTCTTAGTTTTTTCATTAACATTCAATAGTATTTCATTATAATCAAAGTCAAGTCAAACATCCAAGGAAATAAAATATTTTGAAAAGTTTAATCTGAGGGTAATCAAAGGAACCTCAGGGGGGTGAGGGTGATTATAATATAATATTAGGGAACCATAGCACCTAACAAGGGGGTTCGTGTAATTTACCCTAATATTTTACTTAAAACATATAATAAGATATAGAGAGAACCCGCAAAGAGAAATGAACCCAACCCACCTGACCTCCCAAGTTGGCATCCATTCAGTTCACTCAACCAACAAGCACTCGATAAAACATAATTAAATGAACAGATTTTTCAAAGATAATTTTGCAACTGCTTACTCGTCAGACCTATAAAACCAGCAGGCCTATAAAGGAGTATTATAATTTCTAAAATTCAGAAGAGCTTCCTTCCCATCAAGTCCTTGGACTCACATTCAATTTGTTGTGTCTAGAAACTTGCTCCACAAAAGTTAATTAGGACCATGACTAACAAGACCTTTGTTTCAAAATTTTCAAAATAGTACCTATTTTTCATAGTATTAATAACAAACAAATATCCCACAACCATTCCAAATCACAGTTGATAAGAAACTGAAAAACAAAAGCATAACTCCTATCAAACCACCATAGCTATGATGTTATATAACAAGGGTTACAATCTTCAGTCCAAGACGACTACACAGAACCAGCACAACAGGAGATATAGTAAACACCAATGCAATCAATTGATTTGCTGTAACTCAGAAACCATGAATCTTGATATGTTCCTTCTTCACTATGCCAGCCTGTTCAACAATCAATCGAGGAAGGGTGAGGGACCCACTGGATATCACATGCTTAAGGAAGTATTCACTTCAAGATGTCTCTAATCTAATTTTAACATGTTATCCTAAAAATAAATAAAGAATAATTTTTAAATGATAAATAAAGTATAGGAGGGTTTATTTTATTGACAGTTGAAAACATAAATCTCTTCATGAAGACTGCTAAGAACCTATTTCTGACAGCTGTTGTGGGTATCATACCCAAAAATACAAAAACCATTAACCATGATAAGATTTGACCGGATAGCCAAAATCATTAAAATAATCAACTAATAAGAAGTCAATTTATAGCACTACCAAAACAACATAGCAACTAAATCACTGAAGTTACTTGGATAGTTTGCTTAAGTTCATGCTTGGTTCTTGAGATAGTTTTTGGTTAAGAACTCAACATGGAGAACTCCACAAAGATCATTGGCAATAGACAAAATGGAAAACTCCTCGAGGATCTTGCAAAAGAGTGAGAAAAAGAAAATACTCCAATTCTCTGAAACCTTTCTTAGAGAACTAAATCAAATAGACCGGAAATTTGCTACATTATTTATTATTATACTTTATTTATTTTGGCTGATTGGCACCTACTTTATTTATTTTGGCTGATTGGCACCTACTTTGGCCTACGACCACCCTCTTTGAAAGGTGGAGGCGGCACGGCACTACTCATCATCATATAATAGATCCGGCCACATGAATTTTTAGCATTCCTTCTCTTACAAGTTCTCTCCCCATAATATTTAGCTTTTTAAAATCGATTTATTAACTCCGTCCCATGTAAATTTCAGTTGTCTTCTCTATTACTTACCCTCTATACAAATTACTCTACTTTTTACGGTGCATCTATTGATCTCCATTGTATATGCCCATAACACCTAGGCCTACTTATCTTATTATATTTTATTTTTGTTAAGTGTCTACTTAATCTTATATTATCACCAATAGTCATCATCACTCCTAATTTCTCCCACTTTGATTAGTGATCATTTCTCTTCTAATCACTCCAACCACTCATCTTAACATCCTCATTTACATGAATTCATTGTTCTTGTTTATTTTTTAAGACACTTGTGTTTCTTTTTAAAAGCCAACAATTTACTCCATATAAAATAATAGGTTTAAAAACTGTCATAAAAATTTCCTTCAAACTTGTTTGTTATCCTTTTATCGCATAACTCGCCATTGACGTGTCTCCATTTTGTCCAACCTAATCCAATTCCACTTATAATCTCGCCATCCTTTCGTAGTACTAAGCTTAAAGATCTTTTTTTATTATTATAAATAATCCATTTGTTTTGAAGTGTGGTCACTATATTATGAATATCTAACTATTTACTAAATTTTGGGCGAATTGCATAAACCCCCCTTGCCTTGGTATATTTTCTTTTACATGCATCACAATACTTTTAATTAAAAAAAAATTTAAAAAAAAAAAACATAAAAAATATACATTGTATAAAATTAATAGCTATTTTATGCCATTCAATTACTTTTTGTAATTAAGATTCATTTTTGTTGATATAAATGTTTGATCAAATGTCCATCTCAGGTGTGTGTGTGTGTAAACAAAAATGTAAAAAATAAAATAAGCAACTCCCCTTAACACTGGGTATTTTAAGCATTGTTCCTTTAAAGCAACACCCTGGTTTAATAAGAGGGGTTTTTAGCCCCAAAAAAAAAAATTAAAAGGGGGTTTAATGCAAATTGTTACTAGTCAAGGGTTTTTATTTTTATTTTTTTCGCCCTTAAATTTTTACATTCCATATATTCAGTTTTGGCTACTTAGATGTTGGTTGTGCGGATCGAGTCTAGGGTTACACGACCACAAAGAACTATCAAAGGCAAAGCACTTTTAATGACGTTGAAATTTGTAACCTGGACAAGGAAGGTAGACACATTCTTCCGCTGGTCGCCTTGAAGCTGAATAACCTTTACAAAAGCAACAAAATAAAGATATAAGAGGTGCATGACGCATCAAAAACTTGGAACTAAGACAGTTTACTAGTTGTGTTAACTCATACCTGGCCTAGTTCTGGATCCTGGACAACAGTACCATTGCAGCAAAATTCCTTCTTGAGGTCCTTCAGTATTTTATTGTAGCTGAATTCTTTCTTCAACCCCTGCACAGTTGTCAAGCTTTTCCTACCGTTCCTTTGTTGTATACGAATGTGCACATACTCTTTTGATCCAGCACCAGAGTCTTCAGCATTTGCCTCAGCAAAAGGATCTAATTAATTCACATAGGTCATATCATACATCAAGAAGCAATACCGCAGAAAATTCTCCTCTATGTTAGCGTTTGGAATGACAGCCTTTCAATTGTTATTTTATTTTTTATTTTTCCTTTTGGGGGAGTGGAAGAATTTACTTCATCCCCCAACGTATAAAGGTAACAGTCATCATTAGAGGTTAAAGGTTTTCACTTTTGAAGAAGTCAATAGAAGTTGCATGAAAACGTTGGTTGAAAAGCAAAGAACACATACCAAAAGTAGTAGGAATCTGGATGTCAAGTTCAGACATTAAACTTGGCTGATGAAGTTGGCGAGAATTAACGACCACAAATATCTTGCACTAAACTCGAATGCTCAGACCTGAAATGAAGATGGAAGACCACAACAAATGATAAATAAAAAACATGATACAAATGCATGCAAAATGAAGGAACATCTTTTTCCTCCCTTTGGAAGAACAGAACATCCTGACATTAAAAATTTATTATGTCATCTATCAAAGCAAGACACAATTCCCTACAACACATCATGGTACATACTATCACAAAAATCAATCTGCTTGACATAACAGATATCAAGATGAGCAGAAGACTCAGAAATAGGACCCTGACATAACATATATCAAGATGAGTAATAGACTCAGAAATAGAACCAACAGCGCACATGACCCACACAAACAATAGGTTATACCCCATTATCATCTCTAAGCATTTGGCAAGTGGCAACCTAACAACTTTTCATATAGAAAGCAAATTTAGATGGTAAACATTGTAGAAGAGTGCCATGCATCACACCAGATCAAATTCCAGAACAATTTTTGGAACATTTCTTTCCTGTGCCAATACCAAAGAAAATTAAAATAAATAATAATAAAAAAGGCAAGAAATTACCAGACCTTCACCACTGTCCAAGCCAATCATTTGAAAAACATTTGAAGGTATGATTAAAAAGAAAAAAAATCAAAAAATTAAAAATTAAATTAAAAAACGAAGAACAAAAAATAAATCACAACTTTAATGTAGCGAAAAGGTTGCACAAAACCGAGATAGGGTATTAACTTTGTCTAGTGGCAGATTTGTCTAGAACCAAGATCCTCTCGTCGTGTGCCTAATGCAACAACTTTAAATCGACAAGCATCAACTACGTAAATGTGTCAAATTCTCGATGTAACAATTCATAGCGTTTCAAAACAATGTAATATGCTGCATGGGTGTTGTATCTTTGATATAAATGTGTTGCATGCATGGGTGTTGTATCTTTGATATAAATGTGTTGCATGAGTGACGTATTTTGTGATGCACTGTATTGCCTTGTGATATAGCTGTATTGCACTAGTGCACAAGATGAGCACACATGATCCCCCTAAACAAAAGGGGAACCAAGTTCATTTGTCTAACCAGACTAACCTCAATATCTCAAAAAACTGCAGAACGTATAGAGTGCACATTTAGATTCAGAAAGTGTGCTTCTAGTAGGGGTGGCAATTCGTATTCACGGGTCATAATCGTATCGTGTCAACCTAAAAGGGTTTTCTACTAAATAACTCAACCCAAACACGACCTGTTTAATATTCGTGTCAAGTACCCTCTACACTAACCCAACCTGTTTATTAAACAGGTTACACGGGTAACCCGTTTAATGATCTATTTACTAAAATAACGTGTAACCCGTTTAATGATCTAGTTACTAAAATAAAAAATTAAATTATTTAAATTATTAATAATACTCAATCAAATAATAAATACTAGAAAAATCTAAGTTTCCATCCAACCAAATTACAAAATAGTCTTTGGTCTATAAAAGAGTAAATTATAAGACACAAGTTTAGATAGTTATTTTGAAACTTAAATATAAATTTATTTATGACACGTATAGTTAAACGAGTATAAACATGTTAAACGGGTTGAACAATCTCAACCCAAACACGACACGACTAACTAAACGGGTTAATCGTGTCAACCCGTTGATGACCCAAACTCGTTTAAAGTCAACCCAAACCCGTTTAACTCGTGCTGTTCGACTCCTGTTGGTGGGTCATGTCGAACTTTACCACCCCTACCTTCTAGACGTGACAGTCATTCCTATCTAGTATAGTACAAATACCCATTGCAAGTAATGGACACGTATGATTACTTAATTGAAAGCGGGCACAGAGTAAAGCCTGCATCTCCCATTAATATCCGAAGGATAAGAATTCCTACAGTTCAATGTAAGTATAGATTTAGCAGAATCATCAATTCTGCTAACATGATCAAGTCATACACCATCAGTTTATCGTATGGGCTGGACAAACCTGTAATAAAGCCACGCATATTAAGTGAAAATGCAACATTCAATGCTTACAAGTGCCTTGAGATAAGGAAAAAATAGAGAGACTAATGTAATACTAATAATAATAATGAAATAATTGTAAGAAGAGACAGTCTTTAAACTTTCTCAAGAAAAAAGAAATAGAAAATTTGTGAACACTTCGAGAGTCTGATAGCCAGGGGAAAAAATGTTGAGGAAAAGTAATTTCTTAAAACCGTGTAACTTCCCATAAAATTTTCCCTGGAATTTTTTTTTTTTTCTTGAGAAAGTTTAAAAAGTTTAAAACAATATTCTTTAAATATTCATTCTTTTCCTGTAAATCAAAATGCATTACAAACTATGAAAGCTAAAACTTTATTGAAATCTTTTCATACTAATCTAATGCATGTTAAATTTTTTTTATTTTCCTTTCATTCACTTCACATTCTTTCACTCTCACTTTCCACTATAAGTTTCCATCAAACCAAATGGACCTTTTATGTAGCAAATAGCAATACAAACAACACAAATAAAACAAATAAACCTTTATCCTCGTTTTAAACCTCAGCAACACTATTGTAAGATCCACTATGTGGACTATTTGAACATCCAACTGCAACAATGAACATTTCAAATGCTAGATCTCCACTCATTCTCAGGTTCTTAATCGCAAAAAAGCTGAACCCTTCATAAGCTCAAAGCTAGCAGCCATTAGATTATAGTTTGCATCATATGAAGAAGCAGTCATTGGATTTCTCTTTTATTCTATTCATATTAACTGATTACCTTACTTTCATTGGGTGCCTAAATGCCCCATGTGTATACCACATCACTCATGACATGAAGAAAAGAGAGGCAAGTAAAATGAATTAATCATCCACTAAAAATTTCTTTTAAAACTGAACAAAAACAAATTCAATGCTCCCATTGATTGTTGAAAACCATTAAAAAAGGAAAAATTATCTCAAAACCCTACAAAGACTATGTGTTTAAGCACTGGATTTATCGAAAAACCCATTTCAAAAGACCCTAGGGATATGATGAATTAATTATATTTTTAATTCTCTTCCTCTAATTTGTAAGAAAAAATTGAAATTTTATGCAACTTAAAATTGAACTCCTTTTGAAATAGTAATAAGATAAAAGGCATAGTTTTATGCAAAACTAATGATAAACTTAACTACCAAGTACAATGTGCATGGCCAGAAATTTTACACATATCCATACCCAGGTGTCCTGTATCAGGTAAAACACTCATTTTGAAGAGTCCATCCAAGATGGCATCCATTCGAGTCCCCCTCTATAAATTCCAAGTTCTCATTGATCTATGCATTTCCTTTTAACAGTTAAATGAAACTAAAGGCTTACAAGAGTAAAAATTGAACCAACTGAACAAAGCGAGAAGCTGAAGGCTTTGCATCGGATTGTAGCTAGGAAACCAGAAATTTCTGCCTGTTTCAAGTTCTAGAAAGTAGATGCAGCTTTCAAGCTAATTAAAATAAAGAAAATTATCCCACCACAGAAATTTGCTACTTCCCCCACAACTTTTTAACAGAAAGTGTCTAAATTGCTACTTCCAGTAATGAGTTTGCTGCCTACAACAAACATCATGAGAGAAATAACTTAGGTGGATGCAGCAAAATCATAAATATCGATATGTGGAAATAAGAACAGCCACTTGCTCCAGCAGAATTTCTAGGAGCTACAACTTCTACAGAAAACAAAGAGAAATTTACAAAAGCTAAAATAACCCAATGACAAGAAAGCCCAAAGCACCATTTAATCGATATGAAGGCACAAAAGGGCACCATAAATATTACAAGAACAATGAGATTAGGGTTTCGACTTAAAGATGGTAAAATATACAGAAAACAGTTGGGAAATTGTTTAGGATGAACAACACACCACATGAGAATCCTGTGCACAACAAGATTCCCAAAATTTCCAAGGGAACCACGAAAAATCAAAATAATTCTCACAATACTAACTAAAAAAAGGCTCCTTAGAAGCTATGTAGCACAGGTCAGAATTGAGAAAGAGAAAATCATCAAACTACACATAAACATCATGCACAACACCGAAGTTGATGCAAGCAAATCACAAAAAATCAGAATTACAGAACAACAAAACATAGTGAATAGAAACTCACGAAATCGAACCATGACACAAACAAAAAAAACTATAATGAACCAGCCAAAAATATCCTAGCACAGGATAATTATGTACATAGGCAAAAAAATAAAAAGATCTTTACTATAATCCAAGAACAATAAAATCAAAAGCGCATGAAGCTTCAGATAAAAAATAAAAAGAAATAAAAAGTTCTTTTATCCTCTTCGTTCATTCTATTGGCAACAAACACATTTACGAAGATCTGACCAAGAAAAATCTAGAAAACAAGAGATACAAAAAACCAGAGAAAGTACCTGATCCGAAGATTTGGGTTTCGACTCGTAGACTGTAGCAGAAGAAACCCCAAGTCGGATGGTCTGAGCGAACACAAGAAGGAAAATCAGAGGATGGGAAAAGATCTCTCTCTAGATATACATGGCTTGCTTGGTCGGTCGCACACGGAATGGAGACTGGAGAGAGCGTACGGCGTACGCTGACTATCTTCACACGTGTTAACTCAACAGAGCAAGTACAACTCTTTTTGTACACCTGATTCAGAACGGAACTGCCCCGACCCGAACCTATCCAAATCTACATCTTATTGGATCTGATAACCCAACGAATTATCAATAAACGACGGGGAAAGTCTACAAAACACCCTTATGGTTTTGATTTTGTGCGAATTATATCCCTATAATTTATTTTTTGTGTATAAAATTCACGTTAGATGTCAAAATGTTGCAAGGAAGGTCACCAATCAACTTTTTGGTAATAAGGTGTCGTTAAATATCACGTGCCGGACGCATGACTATTTTAAGAGTTGAAAACTCCAAAATAACCTTTTTATATCCCAAAAATGCCCCAACCCTATTGAAGTACATCGCTGCTGCCACAACCGGGCACTCAAATGCCTAAATTGTTAATTGAATTGGCGAACCGATTGAAGACCCAATAGCAACCGGCGACACACCCAAGTTTCAGTTCAGATGAACCACGGTTCCAGTGATCTCCTGTCTGTGCAAATGTAGAGAAAGCTTCATCTTCGGTGTACTTCAGTCTGTGCGAACTTTGGCGAAGACTGAAGACATACCCATTCCGATGACGAGGACATAACCACGAGCTCCAAAACTACACTTACTAGCTCTGGTGACGGCGATTCAACCAGCGCACTCTAGTTCAAAAGTATCCTAAGTGAACTTCATTCTACAGCAACAAGTCTGACGAGCTGCAATCAAGGACCGAACAACCCCAGCATTTCTTAGATAAGGTGAACAACAGTTCTGGTGATAGAATTTTGGCAAGCTACTAGTGCAATTTCAGTGAAACCCAGAACAATAGGACCCATTTTGGTGACCATCCAATGAGCTTTAAGACATACATGCGACTCCGGTGAATAAACGGCCAGCTCTGTCCATCTTCTTCCGGTAAGCTTGGTTTGACCCAGTAGCGAGTACCGGTCCGGTATGTTTCAGTTCCCGTTCAGACCAAACTGAGACCCAAACTGGAAAACAACGCTACCAAACCGATCGGCGGCGATGCAATGATTTTTTGTCAGGGGCTTTTTTGTATTTTCACTTTTCTTGTTATTGTCATTATTTAAAAAAAAAAAATCATAGAAAGAGGGGTGTTTAATCTATTCGCATCTTTGGTATCGGTTAATGGACAAAAGGCACTAAGTCACACATAGTTTTATGTGGAGGGTGATTAACAAACATGGGTTTTTCGCACGCGACCCATTAATGAATTCAAATAATATTTGATAACCTGATATATATACTATATTTTTTTAAAAATGAGAGAGAGGGAAGGGTCAAAAATATCTATATCTATATTTATATTCATATCTATATCTATTTTATGATATTATTAAAAGTGTAAGGCCCTTTTTTTTCTTTTCTTTTTTTTCTTAGAGCACGTGTATAGATCCAACAATACAAGCACCATTCAAGTCAGGAGTGTGATTCGAAAGCGAGACCTCAAGAACTTACCTCTCGGATCCCTGCCAACGCCGCTACGCCCCCTGAGGACAAAAAAAAAAAAAAAAGAAAAAAGTGAAGCCCCTTTCTCTATTTCTTAACATTTTTTTTTTTTTTAATAGAAAACCCAATAAAATTTCATTAAATCAGCTTATGATTCATACCTCATTAAAAAACTTCATTCTTTATTTTATAAAAAGTCTGAAAACATCTCATTAAATTACCTTATGATTCATATCTCGATAATGCACATAATGATTCACACATTTTCTTAAATTTTAATTCTCAAAAACTTATTTAATTCCTATAAATTTCAGATACCTAATCCACAAAAAAATAAAAATAAAAATCATCCGAGTTAAAGTTTAGAGAGGAATCATAAGAGAAAGAGAGAAAACGACAGAGTAGGAAAAAAAAAATGTAAGAAAGGGTTGTAAAAATTGATTATGACATCTCTACACTCATATATTTATATTCTTCATAAAGTAATTACAATAATGGTGCGAGATCGTCGCTTACGCCCAAAATTTCATGCATTATAGTGTAGCCAAGTTTGAATTTATAAAAGTCACTACCACTACTAACTACTAACGTAGCAAGAGTGGGTAGGGATCATCCCAAGAGATTTGCAAGGTATTCCGGAATCAATGTTGGATTAGTAGGTTGAATGATCAAATAGGAGTTTGGTTTGTTGAATTACACTAATGGTTCACTTAAAATATGCAATTTAAATGACAATATAGAGATTAGGGATTAAAGAATGAGAGAGAGGTATCAGGGTATAGAGTTCACCACTAAGCTTTACTTCACTAAACATTTAGCCAATGTAGGGGGATTTCAAGTTGTAAACCAAATGTGTGTGATTAATTGAAAACTAAGCATGGTTGGCAAATAAGCAGAAATTGTCTAATCAATCTAGTGAGTAACACAACCTATCAAATCTAACCATTAACCATTCGATTAAACCACAATTAATATACACAAAAAAATCTAGAGAAATATACTACTTGCACTCATAAGCATGGATCATCAAACAATAAGAATGGATTGTCTACCTTTTTAGGAAATTAAAGCAATTACACTACAACTACTCTAATGACAAGGAAATTAAACTAATTAAGCTAAGGAGATAGCACAATCCATCAAGAAATAAGCATAATCCATCAAACAAACCACAAGAGTAATCAATTAAGCACAATGCCTTGATCATCACTAGATCTATAATTTCAACACACATAGGCATGCATCAAACTCAAAAAAACCTAATGTAAGCACATGACCATTCATTCTAGCATACATAGACTTATGAATAGAATTAAAAGATCAATTGAAAACATTAATTTATATAAGTCATGTAAAAACACAAGATCTATATTTATTCATGGTCAAAACATCATTTACAACTAAAATCCCCAAAAATCTACAAAATACTAGGTTTAGGAATCAAGCATAGGGGCTATCTCTAACCCCAAGAAAAGGATCTAGCCACTTATGATAGTGGTTATGGAACCCTCAAGGGTTTTCTTCATTGTAGGCACCATCTTCTTCCTCTTTATTTACTCCAAAACCCTAGTTCTAGAGAGAGAAACTATTTATTTCTATAATTGGTAAAATATGAAATTAAACAACCCTGTACAAATTGGTTCATTTAATTTAAATATAAGCCTCTTTGAGTAGGAAACAAGTCAGAAATAAGGCTTTTGATTGGTGCAAACTCGCAACTACAAAAGTTGGAGGAGTTCGGCCGCTCTCGGGAATTAGACAGCATTCTGCCAGCAGTGGCTTCGATCAATCGAAGGGATCGATCGAAGTTTGATGTGGCAAGAAATTTTGGACAGCTGGCAACCTTATCCATTGAGCTGGCACCGCCTTCTTTTCGTTCGATTGTAGCTTCCTTCGATCGATCGGGACTCCTTTCGATCGATCGAAGCTTCACCAGTGTAGATTTTCTGACTTTTTCTGAATCTTTTCCTTAACTCCAAAATTGAGCTAAAAGGCTCTTTTTAGCCTGTTTGAACCTTATTGACCTGAAATAGACAAAAATACAAATAAGTATTAGAACATAAAAACAAGATAGATGAATGGACTAAAATACCCTAGCTTAGTTGATAAAATGCATCACATTTGAGCACTTATCACACCCCCAAACTTAGATATTGCTAGTCTCTAGCAATGAACTACAAAGAAAAGAAAGAAATAAACAACTAAACAACTATGAAATAGAAAGTAATGAAAGGATAATGCCACTTTCGTAGGGAACACGATTGCATTTAGCATATGCAACAATCCTTTTAAATCCCTAGGTTACTCCTAGTGGACGAGTGAAGTCTATTGAGGGTTTCCAGAAATGATACCCACAAATATTAAACTCTTTCTCACTAAACAGGCACCAACATACAAAACAAACATTGGGAGAAAACTACCTCAAGTATGCAATTTTTCAACCATTTCCAAGCAACTCTCTAAAATTTCAACACCAAGTAAGCAAATATGGTCCTCCATATATCAAGACAATGATTATGCAAATCAAAACAACTCTAGAATCCTTTTTAAATAAACCGACATCAAATATGTTGCTATCTAAGCCAACTTATGAAATGATCACATCCGGTCTCAAGCTAGTACACAAATCTAGTACCGATCATCAAGACAAAGAATGAACCTTTTATTAAAACTTTATTCATCTAGGTACACTTATTCTTTTCACTCGATATATATATATATATATTTTTTTCATAGGATCAAAGATGGAAACATAGTGCAATGCCGTGATCTATTAAGCTTTCTAGAAGATTCATGAGGTGAGCGTTAGGTCAACGACTCCAAAACCGGATGGCTTTAGGACACTAGGTGTAGAAATACCCCTAAGGGCTTACAAGCTCAAATTAACTAGGTTACAAATCAAAACAACCTCCATCTAATCATTTCTCACTTCTCACCTTTTGGGAGAAGTTCTCACTTTTATTTGCTTTTGAAAGTTTGCATTTTTTTTTTTTCATTTATTAACCTAGAGTTTGGGCCCTCCACCTTTCGGCGCGAGAAATTCAATGCTTGATGAGGCTAGAATCCCGACTACTTAGTGAAAAGGGTTTGTTATCCACCTTTGTCAAGAATGAAAGCTTTCAAAGCACTATTAGCTCAATTGGGATATAACTAAATCAATAATCAACAAAGCATGTACCCCACAAATGAATGCTAGTGTGCGCCTGTGCTAGTATAGAATTCTAGAGTGAATCTCAAAACAATCACAAAGTCAAGATGATGTGGACCACAAATGCAAGTAAGATATCAATCTTTCCAAAAATTTACTTCTAAATGGCATCCACAAGGTATACAAGGAGTATTGATTGGACTTTAAATTCGAAGTAGCATGGTCCTCAAAATATTAAAATCATGACTAAAGACTCTCAATTCATACCACATGCATAGAAACTAAGTGCGACATGTAAAATATACTAACAGACCCCCAAACTTAATATGTGCATTGTCCTCAATGTATAAAGAGAGCAACAGA